TTTATTTTTCTTTAGCCAATTGGTGCATTAAATCCTACAAGAAAATCATTTTTTATTGAACGTTATAATAATTGGGAATCTGATACAATACCACCATTTCATTATGGTACACATTATTCAACTGCTGCATTTACACTTGGTTGGCTTATTCGACTTGTTAGTTTGAATATAATTATATTTAAATTGAATCGAATAGTTTTTTTTTAGGAACCATTTACAACATTTTATTTAAATTTACAAGAAGGAAAATTTGATCATGCTAATCGATTATTTCATTCAATACCATTATCATGGCAAAATTGTCAACGTGATTCATCAGATGTTAAAGAATTAATACCGGAATTTTTTTCTTTACCTGAAATGTTAACAAATTGTAATCATTATAAATTAGGACGAACTGAAGATGGAATTAAAGTTGATGATGTTATTTTACCTAAATGGGCACAAACACCAGAAGATTTTATTCGAATTAATCGAACAGTAATAAAAAAAAAATAAGAGAAATTTTTTGAAGAAACAAAAAAAATTCTTTTTTTTTTTTTAGGCATTAGAATCTGAATTTGTTTCATGTCATTTACATCATTGGATTGATTTAATTTTTGGTTATAAACAAAGAGGTTTATTTATAGAAGATTAATATTATTTTAATAATTGATATATTTTTTTTGTTTTTAGGACCTGAAGCTGTTCGGGCTGTTAATGTTTTTTATTATTTAACATATGAAGGTACTGTTAATCTTGATTCAATAACAAATCCAACAGATCGTGCTGCTATTGAAACACAAATAAGAAATTTTGGTCAAGCACCAGCACAACTTTTAACTGAACCACATCCACCAAGAAATTCAGCAATGAATTTAGTAAGACGAAATAAAAAAAACAATAAACACTTTATTTGTTTTTTTGTCTATTTTAGACTCCAATGATGTATAATGTGTAAGTAGTTTTTTTCTCAATAAAAGAAAAAAAATAATTTAAATATTTTAGTACACCAGAAGATGTATCAATGATAATGAAATTTTCATCAAATGCACCAATTATTCATGTTTCTGCTAATACAAATCCAACACTTTCCGTACAAGCTATTATTACAATTAGTAATAAACATGATTTTTCTATAAATAAATATCATCCAAATGCTAGTACACCAACACAAACTTATTCTGAATCATCACAAACATCAATACATCAACAAACACAATTACCATTAAGCATGGATTCAATATTAGGTAGATTAATTCTATAGTTAAACTTTTTATAAATATTAATTTGAATAATAATTATTCAATATTCAAAAATAAAATAATAATAATAATATCTTTGTTTTTAGTATCAAATATAAACTTAAATCGTCGTAATTTGGGTGATAATTTTGATGAACGTATTCAACAACGACATCAAAGTTTTGTTGTTACTGCTGATAATCGTTATATAATATCAACTGGTTATTGGGATAAAAGTTTTCGTGTACAAAATACTGATATAGCTAAAATTACACAAGTACTCTATGGTCATTTTGATATTGTTACATGTGTATGTCGTTCAGAAGTAACTATTGCTGGAAATTGTTTTCTTGCAACTGGTTCACGTGATTGTACAGTTTGTATTTGGATATGGAATGGTACAAAAGGTGCAATAGTTGATCGTGAATATCCAAATCAAGGTTATAATTAAATTAAAAAAAAAAAGAAATCAATATATTATAACTAGCGAGAGCCCATGCATACACTGCACGGTTGTTTTCTGTTTTCATGTATAACTTAAGACGTTTAACTTTTCATTCAGGAACAGACATACAGATATTCAATATTATGTATGTAGATAGATAGCCCTACGGTCTCATACTCTTATATCGTACGTATTTTTATAGTCCATGTAGCCTTCGGCCTTATAGTTTTATATTCCTTGTAGCTATTGTAGCCTTATCCCCTTGAGAATCTATGGCTATTCCCATATTATAGCTCTTCATGTCCTATAGATATACCATATAATAGCCCTTGAGGACTTATAGGTACCTCCGTATAATGGCTTTAAAGTACCTATGGATCAGAGTTGGAACCGGACAGCTTTTTTCTATCCGGTCCGGTCCGGTCGGTTGAAAAATGTGTCCGGTCCGGCCAGCAACCAGCCGGATGAATTCTACAGCCAAACTGGCAAAAATCCGGCGAAAATAACCGACCATAAAAGTATCTATTCACATATAATGGTGGTGAAGGAGAATTGAATATTCATGTGCAGAAATCCGAATTAGGAGTAAGCAACTTATATTTTCCTAAATTTAAATAAATCGAAAAATAAATTTAAAAAATTAAATTAATTTTCAATTTAAATTAGATTTATATGCATTTAAATTTTTCAAATTTATTTAAATCTAGTTTAAACCAATATAACTTCAATTTAAACCAAATAAAATTCAATTTAAATTCATTCCGTTGGATTTAAATCCAATTAGATGGGTGTACATTGAATTTAGATTGATTTAAACTGGATTTGAGTAAATTTAAAATAAACTTCAATTTACAAAATTTAAATTTAAAATAAATTTAAATTTTCATCTCTAAAAAATTTTTATTTATTTGAACTTTTAACTTCGCAAAAATTTAAATTTAAAATAAGTTAACAGGCGATCGTCACTTCTAATCGGAATTGGAAACTAAAACTTGGGAATGAAACTGTCACCATCATATTTTATAGCAAGCTGCGTGGACTTTTCGAGCCCGATATCTATATAAGTTAGCTACTCAGATCAAATTTGTTTTTTTCATCTTAATTTCAAGAAAAAAGAGCCAGCTTACAATAAATTTAGCACAACAGTGTACATGTTTATTGTTCGTGATTCAGGCAGCTGTCTAAGTAGAATAACAAAAGCAAATTATATGATCTAGGTTAAATTAAGCGATACACGAGAAAGGAATCGATAAAGATATAAAGAGAACAATGAACTGTTTACAGTTAGGTAAATGGCAAAATATTCATTGAGTCTTTCGCAAACACATTCTTCTGACGTGAAAATATCATGAAAACACCTTTTTCAGTAGAGGAAATTCTTGGACACAAGCAACAATTTTTTAATAATGAACTGGCAAAAATCTGGTCCTGTCCGACCGGTTTTAACTTTTTGTCCGGCCGGACCGGTTCCAACTCCGCTATGGATACCCTCATATAATAGCTGTTGAGAATCTATGGATAGTCTCATATAATAGCCCTTGAGGACCTATGAATTTTCCTACACAATAGCCCTTGAGGCCTTCCGCTTATAGGATTATTTGACTTTTAACCTTTAACCTTGGATCCTGGGCATAGAGACGTCAGACAGACACTGAACAATATATATATACATAGAGAGATTTTGTTTTTATATAGAAATCAATCCATCACCAGCAGCAATTTTAACTGGTCATGATAGAGAAATAACATGTTTATGGATATCA